CTACTACTACTCTCTCTCTCTCTCTCTCTCTCTCTCTCTCTCTCTCTCTCTCTCTCTCTCTCTCTCTCATATTACTTAGTTATCTAAAGTTTGCCTTCACGTCCTCTTGTCTTTTATGTGATCACTTTTTGTTTGAGCACCCTACTTGTGGGATGCCAAAACTCACATCTTGTGATATTTGTAGAACTTCGGTTATTATTAATATAAAATCTCACTTTCTCTAAAGTCTGCCTTTACATCCTCGTGTCTTTTATGTGATTGCAACCTTTGCACAAGCCCAACTTGTGGGATGCCGAAACTCACATCTCGTGAAATTTTGTAAAACTTATATTATTATGAATAAATAATGTCGACAAACACATCATTAGATATGCACAATCCAACAAATAAAGCAGGAACATGGCCAAGAGAAGAGCTTTCTTAGGTAAAGTTTCACAAAATAATAATTTATAATGAAGAGTGTTGCTGGGTAAAGTGGCTCTCCTCGTACATATGACGACTGAAATTCCATCTATTCTCTCTTAATTTAGTTTCACTTTAACCTAAAATTGGGCATTCATGTAGCTCCAATCGCAATCAAGTCCCTGCATTGTGATCAGATGAACCAGAAAGACCATCCTAAGACCATAAAAGACTAAGAAGCTAAGAAACTCCACTTCGTTCATAAAGCAAAATTTTCTCAGATACTTACAGTTGAAGCAGCACATCTTCAATGCTATCAAGAGGAGGAAATTGAGTTCTAATGTCTTCTTCATTAGCCGATGCATTAGCTCTCTCCTCTTGGTGCTCCCTGGATTCATAATCTGGATTCGCAGCACCACTGCCCATGGTTGCAGATTAATAGAAATAGAAGCCCTGAAGAGAAAGTGTGCAAGAGCGCAAAGCTTGAGTGAGTACCAAAATAAGAAAAACTGTCACAGAGAAAACGAGTATGAAAACATTAAGTGGACTTTTATAGTTTGAAAAAGATAACCCAATACCCCGAAATAACAAAAATGCTATTCAAATTGTGTTAACACAAACAGCACAAAAACACAACGCCACGACATCCCTAATTTGTCTTGTCAGGGAACAATCTGAAACATTGAATGTCAATCCATATCACCGTATCTAAAAACCCTAAAATCTGTATCCATCAATCTCCAATACTGCACTCAGTTCACATGGTATAGTAACCATGGATCACGTACCTACTGGTGAGAGGAGAAGGTAGTGAGAGAACCTTGGGTGTCTTTGAATATTGGCCAAATACATAGTCTAAACTGGATTACCAGACCGATTCACCGATCATGCTAGTATGCAAAATTAAAAAAATAACAAAAATATCTAAAAAATAAAGAAAAAGGGCTGAAAAATGAAAATTATGCAAAATATGAAAAAATCAAGCACATGAATAAAATGTGAGCCTATTATTCACAATATCTTTTAGTATATTTAAATTTTTAAATCTCTTTCATGGTGGGATTTTACTATTTTAAAAAATCAGCATAACAAGTTACATAAAAAATTTATAAAGAAAATATCCCTGATATCAGAGGCCACATCCAACTATCCCTAAATCAAAAATATCCCTACTATAAAGTAATAGAGTAATGATCCTATGATACCCTCCCACACCCATGTGAGTAAGACCCCAAAAGATCACCAATAAATTTGGCACAGATCTCTAGAAAAGTTATCACATGGATGTGGGACTTAAATTTTCTAAAGATATGTGCCAAATTTAATGGTGATCATTTGGGATCCTACACACATGGGTGTGTGAGGGTCTCATAGGATCATTACTCAAAGTAATAATACAAACCTCAAAGTTCATTCAATCATTTAAAAGAACAAAGGCTAACAGAAAGTCTTGCTCAGAGGAAATGGTAATGACTTTTTGATAGAGAGACTACAAAAAAGAAGAACATATAAAAACTTAATTAACCCGCAAATAAAGGCATGTAAAAACTAAGAAAAGCATTTTCACGTGGAAATAACTATGAAAAGGCACTTCCATATAATGGATACCGGATAGAGATTCAATGATCACAAATCAAGAGATTCAAGGCTCTTCAAAATATTTCTTGCAAAAACCAAAAAAAAAAATTGAATCTTCATTTTTTCTTTTTTTCTTTTTTTCTTTTTGTAACAATAAATCAAGCAATCAAAAAGCGGTTGAATACACTTACCTAGGCTTCAAATGATGACGGGTTCATGGCTGGATTCACTGAAGAAAAGTGCCGGAGAAAAGCCCTAGGGACTGTGGAGTTTTGGTAGAGAGAGAAAATTCCAAGTGCTCTCCATCTCTCTTTCTCTCTCTAAATAACGTTTTTAAAATAAAAGTTTTGCAAGGTCAAAGGGCCGTCCATCTTAAAGATCGACATCGTGTAAAGCGTCCCGGATAAAAATTCCATACGGACGGTAACATAAAACTCCCTATGCATGAAAAATCCACAGTTTCTATGAGGGAAATTTGTTTCATGCAGCGGGGACAGCATTTCTACATTTGCAGATCATGAGGTATAAAGCACCCATCATAAAGATGAGGGCAAATAGGTGGTCCATCTAAAAAATATTGAAACTAACGGTCCAAAAGTTTTCTTAATAGAATTATTATTCCTAATTTTCAAAAATTATTTATTTTTTCATATTTGTGATCTCCATGTTAGAGATTACATGTCCTTAAGATGGCGTTTGATAGCTTTCACTGTAGTCTCCCTAGGAATCACCCCTGCTGCTGACTTTCTTGGATTATGGGATCCAGGTGAAATTGGTAGGTGAAAGCTGAAAACCCTATTTGATAAATTGTGGTGCTGATAATTTCAAATGTTTGGCAATAGGAAGGCTGGAAACTGCCTATATTTCTGTCTATTTTGTATTTCATTGATATGATGTGCGAAATGCAATTTTTTAATAACATGTTGTAATTAAATAAGGTTCCTTTCATTCATCCAATATAATACCAAACATGTATATAGATTCAAAGAATATTTTATTGTGCTTGAAGATTTCATAAAAGTGTGAACAAGTATTTCGATCCAAAAAAACATATTTACAAAACTTGTAGGAGGCCCAAAAATGAACAATTCAGGACAAATTTCATAGAGAATGGATGAGAAAAAGAGAGTTGGGGACAAGTTTCAGAGAAAATGGAGTGAAAGACATTGCATAGAAAATGGAGGGACCGGGGGAGGGCGGGAGGGAGTGAATTGGATGAGTGAGCGAGTGAATTGGATGAGTGAGTAAGTGACAGGAACAAATTTCATAGAAAATGGAATGAGACAAATTTCAGGGAAGGAGGCAGGAAGTGACAGATACCATTGCACTACAAAATTAGATAAGACACATTTCTGCATTTCTTTCTTATTTTCTTTCTAGTCTAGCTTATAAGCCCAAATTCATGCCACATAAAACCATCAACTCCAATCAAAGCAGCCTCTGATGCATAACAGCAAGAAGAAACAAACAACAATCTAATTGCAACACATAACACCAATGTAGAGCAATAAATATCAAGAGAATATCATAAACCAATTTACAAACTTGTAAAGTAATTACATGCTCAAATTACACAAGAAATCTAAGGTGCTCCTTTTATAGACAAAAACCATTTCAAGCATTTGTTTTATAGCAAAACAAATGAACAAATATGACCCAAACATAGTGGTAATATGCTAGAAATAACCAGCAGAAGATAAAAGACTCCTTCCAATTGCATCGCATTAACAAAGACAACCAATCTCTCACTGTCTTTTATATCACCCACACTTGGACCACTTCTCTCTGTCTCTTATCTCCTTTTATTGACTCGCAATTACACAACTCCTTTACTAAACCCAACAACAAATCTTCTGCAACTACAGAGAGAGGTGAGCCAAGACTCTTTCTCTAGCCTCAACTCTTACATGAAAGCCCTTTCTTAAACACTTCGAGTCTTTGAGAATTGATCATCACATATTTGCTCCCTCAATTTACCGTGACCAAAAGATCAGCAGCCAACAAGTGAACAATAAATAGGCTCATTTTTTAAATTCTCACCAAAAGTCGTCAAAAATTACTAAATTCTAAGAATGAGTTATTATTCTAAGAGTAAGTTATTTTTCATACTGTTGAGTTCATCAAAGGCTAACAACCCAAAAAAGGGCAACAGAACTGTAAGTTAATACAAACTAATCCCATTAGAAATCCATCAGTTGAGATCAAAAGATAGCATCTTGAGCTTTAAACTAGCATTGTATACTGCATAGAACCTTGAATGAACAATACTAATTTTTACATAAATACAAAGATATAAGGCTGAAAAAAAAAATTTATTTTTTCTTTGCAACTAATCAGTGATTTAAAAACATTATTTTTATAGTTTGACAATCCATTTGCCATTATTTTGATAAATCAAAGTGAACAAGACTGATTTAAAACTGCAATCAAAGAAAAAAATTAATTTTCACTCACCACTCTAGGGTTTCCATAAATTTCAGGTACTAAATGCTCACTTTGATTGACCTTTATTTTGATAATTCATGAAACAAAAACATTTATTTTATAATTTTCCATAAATTAACCTGATTCGTTTTAATATTTTTGTATAGGAGAATCAAAATTTCGAGGCATAATTTTATTCACAATTTTGTTGAAATAAAATTTTATTTACCTTTTAAAAACTGTAAATCAGGTTAGGGTTTGTAGCAAATCAATCAGAGTGAAAAATATGCCAAAACAGGGTTAAGGTTTGCAGCAGATTAATCAAAGTGAACCCTTTTTAAAAACAGTAAATCAAAGAAAAAAAAAATTGATGCTCACTCACCACTCTAGCGTTCCAATAGATTTCTGTGAGCTCCTGGCTAGCGTGGTTCCCCTTTCTTGAGATAGAAAACGAAGAAGCCTCTCGGGTTTTGATGGGCCAAAGTCGGAACGAAATTATGGGAGGAAGTTGCCGCTTAGTTATCAAAGGTAGAAACGAGTCACCTTAAAAATTATTTTTTAAATGGGTGCCTTATTTCTAGATGAGTCACTATTTTAAAATCTATTTTTGGTAATCCAAAAATCCATTTTAGAAATAGATTTTTAAGAGGTGATTCATTTCTACATGGACTTGTAGAAACGGTATTCTTCAATGAGTTGATGGACTCAGATGTAGAAATACAAAACCGTTAATAATTTATTTTTGGAATATAATTTATTTTAACTTTTAATGAAATATATAATTTTTAACTTGGACATTATTATTCTATACAAAAAAACTATAAATAATATTTTTTGAATAAAATATTTCAACAAGTTGATTTTCTTTAGAGGACTTAAACCCGGTATTGGTGGACAGTGTAGATCTCCAAACCCGCATAGTAATTCAAATTTCCTTTTTAAAACCTTCTCCTCTTTAATTCAATTCAACATAAATGCCTTCGAAAAATTAAAAAATGACAAAATAAATTATTCTTAAAAGTGAGTAGTAAAGGGCATAATAGGTAAACATTGGACTGGCCATTTGGAATTGGACAAAATAGACTGCCTGGTTCAATATGTGAAACCGAAACCGAAACTGAAACTGAAACTGGCTTCCAATTCAAACTAGCAGATCCAATGTGATTCTTACAATATTAGAATGACATGAGAGGTTCCCCAACGAAAAACACGAGTGGTATTATGCCAAAGTATGTTCCCGTAACAAGCATAAGATTGTTTTTAAGGGTTTTGAAATTTACGAAACCTAGCTATGGAATTTAAGAATGACCCAACGAAATTTAACCCCCAAGTCCTATGAGACAAAAAAAAAAATTACTAGTTTAATTAAAAAGCAAATAAATACAACATAAACTTAACGAAGACGAAACAACCATTAACGAGAATAGCAATATTTATATACACATTGATTTGGAAAAATTTGTCTACAACAAAAAACCTAAAAAATCTAAATTTTAATATTTTATATTTAAAACAAAAAAGACAATAAAATGGTATAATAGACTTGCGGCTTCAAATTGGGCAATATGATGGCCAAAATCATCTCCGAAAGTTGCCCAAAAACTATGGCTAGGGTTGAGGTATTTTTCAATAGAGGGAGAGGGTAAGAAAATTGCCAATAGTTTTTTTCTCACTCTAAAAAATGGTTTCTAAAGTCCCATACCCTATCCATTTTAAACAAAATAATAAGATACCCTATGAAATGAAAATGACAAGGAAAAACACCCAAAAAGTGATACCAAAAAATAAAAAATAAAATAAAAAAATAAGGGAATGTAGTTTTTCTTAACATCATTGGACCGAATAGTTTGGCCAATAACCAGTGGACCGGTCTCTCTCTCTCTCTCCCTCTCCCTCCCTCACTCTCATATTAATAGATCCAGAGAAGATGTTTTTACAAAAGAAGCTTCTATGACAACAATTTCCAGATATTGTCCAAACAGCATACACCCATCTTCCTGCCAATTCTAAGATGTGTCTATTCCAAGAGATCATCACCCTAGCACAAAGCGATCATATAATATGACTTAAAAAAAATGACAAATACTGGTTTTTTATTTTATTTTTATATTTATTTGTTTGAATGCTTCAATTTCAATACAATATAGAGTATGGAAACTTGACAGACATTATTATTAGGAAAAATATATCCATATCTCTTATTTTTAAGTTTCATATCTCCATAGATCTAATATTTCAAAACATATATTAGGCCATAGAAATCCTAGGTTTTATATATTATAACCTCTTAAACTAACTTTTACCACTTTAATTCTATTTTTCTAACCAAAACAATTTATAAAATGATAAACATTTTAAACATGTCATCTCTCTCTTCCCCAAACGTATCCATCTTTCTCTGTAACCTATCATTTATCTCTCATCCCCGCCACAAACTTTTATTTCTCTCCTCTGTATATTACCCCAACACTCTCTCTCTCTTTGTATTTCCTCTCTCTCATTGTTTGATGCTATGTGAAATCCTAGTTTACTAAGTTTTTATAGGAAGGTTGGATAGGATTTAAAAGGTTCAATGATGAATTGATGATTGATTGAGGTTTGAAGGTTCAGCCATACAGAATTAGAAGTTCGGTTAATAAATATTGTCAAGATCATTCAAAAATTTCATGCTTTGTGAAGCCCAATAGGATTTTAGTATCTATTGAAAAATAAATAAAAAAATAAAAAATAAAAATAGTAGGATTTAAAGTTTATCAATGGAATGTCAAAACCTAAATTTGGTGGAACATAGAAAATTGCAAGGCCCCTAAGAATGTAGATCCCAATGTTATTCCTCAAAACATAAGGTCCGCATTGGCAAAAGGGGACTGTATGGGTACAATACATTTCACAACTTAATATAGACACAAAGGGAAATATGGAGAGAGAGAGAGGGGTTATGGGGAGAGAGAGTGATAAAGAGGGATTGGAAGAGAGAGAGTGAGAGATGGGTTAGGGGAGAGAGTGAGAGAGAGAGGGGTTGGAGGATAGAGAGTGAGAGAGCGAGGGGTTGGGAGGGGGAGAAAGAGGGGGCAGAGAGAGAGAGAGGAGTTTGGAAAGAAAGTGAGAGACATAGAGAGATAAAGAGGGGGTAATATGAAGAGAGAGGGGGCCATATAGACACAGAGAGAGGGCCATATAGAGAGAGAAAGAGAGAGAAGGGGTTTAGGGAGTGATGGGAGAGATAGAGAAAGAGAGAAGAGAGAGAGAGAGGGGTAATACAAAGGAAGTGGAGGGATTTGGGTAATACATGAAGGAGATAGAGAAGGGACTTGGGAAGAGAAAGAGGGAGAAGTTTGGGGATGAGAGAAAAAATATAGGTTTATGAATATTTGTTATTTTATAATTTGTTTGAGTTAAAAAAATAAAATCAAAGTATTAAAACTTGTATAGGGGTTAAAAGATATAAAACCTAGAATTTCTATGGCCTAATATATGTTTTGAAATATTCGGTGATATATAAAATTAAAAAATGGGCCATATGAAGATATTTTCCCTTATTATTATTCTTATTATTTTATTCCTTTAGATTTTGTGACTGGTTTAATTGGTTAACCAGTTGGTACTGATTGGTCCAATCGGACCTATGCCCTCGTCTGTTTGGCAAACGGTCTGGTCCTTAAAATAATGATTTAAAGACTTATTTTCATGTCCCTATGGAAACAGTTTCAACAATTCCACCTACACCGATAGAAGCACAATTCCCTTGAAAAGTATTTCTACATTTTCTCCATTTGAAATAACATGATAAAACAGTTTTCCTCTTTTTATTTGAAACAAAAACTTTGAGATGAGGGTTGGAACCCATTACCTCTTGAAAATGAGTGTTCTAAAAAAACACGCGCCCTCGTAAAAGAGTTATTCTCCATGGAGTAGAGTGGTGGATAAGCTAAAAAAACACATTAAAGTTATATTTTTAACAATGAATTTCAGATTTTTTAATCACAAGTTTCAAAATACTTTAAAAATCATTTGCATGACCTTAAAAATTTATATTTCAAATTTTTGAATTTGTTTCCAAAAAAGTTCATGAATATCACATTCAAGGTTATCAGGTTGTCTTCTAATTTCTCAATTTAAACTATATAATTTTCTACTCAACTAGAAATATCTACAACTAACTTTACATTTTTTTTATCACAAATTTTCAAAATTTTGAAATAATTATGTTGTCTCAACCATAAAAAAGGAAACCATATCTTATTGTTGTTGTTTTTGTTATAATAATTGTCATATTAATTTTATTTGAAAATTATAATTGTCATATTAATGTTTGTTACTATAAAACCACATTTCATTTAATTTTATTGTTATCAATAGATAATTACAAATTTATTATCTAAAGATGAACTATCAAGTACATATTGGTAAATCTCTTTAATTTCTCAAGCAATGCCTTCCTAAAATACTTTTTCTGCATTAGTTTACGTGGCCTTGCATACCCATGTCCTCCAATGATTCATAACGAGACACAAGTCTCCACCATTGGATCCCATCACCAAAGGTGAAGATGAACCGTTTGTGGTTGGCTCGTGCGATTGAGATAGGAATCTACTGCACAACAAAATTCGGCCCAGGAAACTGAAACAAAAGAATTTATAAAAAAAAAAAAAGAAAAAAGGAAAAGAAAAAAGGGTTACGAGCTGTGAAATACTTCGAATTTCGAGGCTACACTTGACTCTCCATTTTCCTAAGAATTTAGGGGCATTTCCGTGGTACCCATCAATCAAGTGGGTGGGCTCACGTATCACGAAATCGCTCTTTTTAAGAGGGGGGGCCAACGACCATAGCCAATTGTATTGAAGCAGCTCTCGATTCGTTCGGTCTGAAATCATAGCACCACCCCTCTCGACCTAGGGTTTCTCTGTCCAGCTCGTTCAACCTCAAAATAACCAGGTACGTCTTTTCTGTGTCTCATACCCTCTCTCTCCTTTTCGTTGACAAGCCTGTCTCATGCTTTTTCTCCCTCTTTCCAAAATGTAGTTTTCAAGCTTGGACTGATTAAGTTCTCAAAAAAAGAAAAAAGGCTTTGGCTGACTAAATTGTGGCATTGATTTGTGGTTTTCTGTGGTTGGAGACTTAATCGCAATAAGGAAAAATTATTCAGATTTGTTCCGGAGAAGAAAAAAGTCATTTTGGTGGAGTTGAAATGGAGGGGATTGGATTTAGGTTTAGTAGTAGGGCCACATATAGGTGCTTTTGGGATGAGGTGTTTCCTGTTGTTTTCTTTCGAGAGAGGGAATCTGGCATAATTTGCCCTAGAAAAAAGCTCTGTCTAATTTTATCACCATTTAACCCAAGAAAAACTGTCTTGTCTCTCACTCTCGAGTCACTCTCTCTCTCTCTCTCTCTCTCTCCTTGTTGGTTTAAAAGTTCAATAACCATGAAAGTATGTATGTTATGCTCTTTCTCTAACCTCTTTTCATTCTAATAATGAAGGTAAGGTATGTATGTTGGTTTTGCACCTAAAGCCTTGTATCATTTAAGGTTTTGCCATTTTTCCGGGGATTTTTCTATCACATTTCTTCGTTGTTATGTTCTCTCCAACAATGGTGGTTTTATATGCAGATCAATGATAGATTGAATGGTTTCCTGCCGCAGCATACGACAACACTTTCTATTCCTTGTTTACACCAAGAGAGCTGAAGGATCTCTTTTTTTGAACTAAACCAAGAGGGAGACTTCATGATTCGCCAATTTAGTGCAGAGCGGGTTAGTATTATTTAATATTATTTGTTATCAGAACCAAATTGAACCAGCTGGTCCAACTAGTTGGATGGTCAAGCAGACTCTAAACTGATATGTTCCCTTAAAAACCAGATCTTGAATTAAATCATCTTTGTAATGTAGTTTTGGATTTATTTTATGGTTTTGAGCATTTTTAATTGGTTCAACCAATTCAACTACCTTGGGAACCTCTAATTGAACCTGACTGATCACTTCACCAATTTAATGTTTGGTCTTGTTATGATAACACTCTTTACTCGCAATCAATCTCCTCCAATAGTTTGTTACTTATTAAAGTTATGCGACTGCATTTCATTTGAGAATTTATGTTGTTCATGGTGTATATTAGTACTGGTAATCGATCCTCCATTAGTTTGTTACTTATTAAAGTTATGCAACTGCATCTCATTTAAGGAATTATGTTGTTCATGATGATCCATGTACTTCTCAACGTGTAGCCCTCTTGTCTTTTTGATGTACTATGCACTCAAGTGTGCTATAATATTTGTTTATATTGGGGAATTTACAGAAAATCCCATTATTTTTTGGCATTCAAAAGAGTCCCACATAGTTTGTATTTGGCGCTCAAGTCATCATCATCATCATTTTAGCCTTTTCGCAATTAATTTGGGTCGGCTACATGAATCTTGATTCTCCATTCTGCTCTATTAAGGGCATATCCTCAGTGAGGCCATAAGTCTCCATATCTTTTCGGACAACTTTCAACCACATCCTTTTGGGCTTACCCTTTGCCCTTTTTCAGTTCTTCCATTTGAACTAATTTGCATATCCTAACAGTAGTTGTACTCGGTCGGCGCCACACAAGGCCAGCCCACTTAAGTTTACTCTTGTCACACCCCAAGAATTTACAATACTGTTATTCCTGAGATGTGACAGACAAAACATATATACATTTATGATAGGACAAATTTACA